TCTGCTTATTCCTATTATTTCCTATGTCTTCAATCACCACCTTCAATCTCCAAGCTCCAAGGATCTTTTTTTTTCTTCAATTGACACCTTTGATTCTTCATGCTCCACAAGCTCAAACCAAACCCCATACCCCATAGAAAAGCCCAAAAGCCCAAGCAAACAGATATAAACCCAAGTGGGAACACCAAACAACACTCCATTTGCAAAATATACTAAAAATAGTAATATAGTATTTAAAATTCTAAGATTAATTCTAAGGGGATTTCTACTTCTACCCTACATACCCTATATGTCCCAGAACCTAATTCATGCTAAAAACCCCAAAATAAAATGTTAGAATGCACCTATGTTGAGTTTGAACCCTACTACTATCACCCTAATGTTCTCTAATCAAAACTAATCAAGATTAATCCACAAAAATGTGGAATAAATCTCTAAGGGAACCTATACTTCTAATCTAATCAGCCCAACAAGAATCAACTCAAAATTATTCACCAATTGGTCACAAGAAAATTTACAAAAACATGCATCCAAGGTACAAAATTAAAGAAATCAATAAAATGGGAAAAATCCAATTAAATTGAAAAATGGGTGAATATGAAATTTATTATTTTCATAAAATCACAAATAAATCCAAAATCATGGAGGTATTTTTGAAATATTTTTCTGATTAATTTTGGATTTATTATGATTTATTTGGTAAACTATATGCAAATAATATGAAAAAAGAAAATTCAATTAAAATTGAAAAAACAGGGGGAGGTGCCGATAGCGACGAATTTGCTTGTTATCCATGTTGGGCTTTAAACAGGGGGTGCGAATAGTAGGTCTAGGCTAGGCCCAAACCAAAACGCAAGGGGGAGAGGGGGTGCCTATGGAAAACAGGAGTATGATCAGTAACCCGCGTGGCTGGGCCTAATGCCCGAGCCCAATTCCCTTTCAGCCTTACACTACAAGAAAATTGGCAAATTGCGACGGTTCATTTTGACATATTACGACGGTTTTAACGGTCGCAATTTGTAAGTTACGACGGTTTCAACCCCGTCGCAGAAACGTGCGTCGCGAGGCTGTATTGCGACGGTTGTGAAAACTGTCGTACAAACCGTCGTTATTTTCACGACGGGTAGTTAACTGTCGTAATCTCCATATTGTGACGGTTTTCAACCGTCGTAATTATATTTACTAATTTTAAGTATTATTTATTTTCACGACGGGTAGCTAACTGTCGTAATCTCCATATTGTGACGGTTTTCAACCGTCGTAATTATATTTACTAATTCTAAATATTATTTATACTAGTTACGACGGTTTAAACCGTCGTAATTTTATCTATAAATTTTTTTTATAATATTCTATTTTTATTTAAATTACTTTCATCTCATTTTTTTATAATAGTTTTTTTAATTTAAACTATTATTATTTTTTGATAATATATCAAATATATAAAGACTCACGTATATCAAATATATAAAGACTCACATATAACAAATATATAAATTTATATAACTTAAAAAAAATTGATATTTTATTATAACTTAAAGTATTATATTTTCTACTAAATATATACTTATGAATATCTAAATGATCAAATGTCATAATCTATAACTTGATATATACAATATAATCAATATAACTCTACAACCTATGATGATCCAAGATATTCTGCCCAATTTTCCACACCAAATGATGATCCAAGATTTTCTACCGATGGCTGAAGAATTCTTTGGTATGACTTTGCCTTAGAGGATAGACATGAACATCTACAAAAGCTTAAAAATTACTTCCAGTTAGCACCAATAAAGAAAATCAGTTGTGGTCTTCTAGTATCATCATGAGCCCTTCATAATCAGTTTTGTAGTCTTCTAGTTGTTGCTAATCTTTTGGTTTCACCAACACGCTCTTCCAAAAGCAAAACTTCCTCATGTTTGTACAAGGAGGTTGAACAGTCCTGCTCCTAGGAGCTTTCTTTTCTGATTCTTGGGAAGGTTTCAAGCGTTTTGATGCTCGACCAATTGGAATAGGATTCTTCGATATATATTCCATATCGTATATACTTGAATCAAAATTGGTTATAGCATTTACACCTTTGTACTTTAGGGCTGCAACGTCGGAGGCCTATGCAGCTTTGTCTTCTTCGGTTTCTATAAACATACAAGAATCAAGAATATTGAACTTTAAATTCAGAATATTGAACTTCAAATACGGTGTGATAATGTTGATTCAGAATTACTAATGTCCTGAGTGTGTGAATTAAAGGCATCTCAAAACATATATGGATAAAAATCTATGAGATTGGTTAAAATATCAGCAGAATAAGCTAATAGTGTTATTCTGGAGTATCAGGCATTTCTCTAAATCCAATTATATTGTATAAAATAGAAAATTATTAATATCAGAAGATGAAAGAGCTTGCCAAATGTTCCCAAGTATCTATCTTTGTTTTCAGCCACTCGACCAATTCTTGCTTGCCATTTACCACTTTGGCGGTGTCTGAAGGATCCAAACTAAAAAAACATTAGAGATACAAGAGAATGATAATCACTGGATAGTATATGGGGGTTTTAAATTTCAAACCTTGTAACACCTCTATATTTTGAAGAGACAAGTTACATCATCACCATTCACCTCACTAACTTGCATTGTAAAATAAATACTACTTAGTGTATAAAACAAAAATGTATACTTGAACCTTGACCATTGACCATTGTCTACTACCACTTGAACCTCATAATAGAAAAACACTTAACCTCATAATAGAAAAACTCTTGTCAGATCTATCCTTGCTAACTTCTATATTATCCAACCTCAACCTGAAAAATGGGTGGCATCGAGACGTTTAGGACACAAATAAATATCTTTGGAGTCCCTGTCATATTGCATTCCTTAGAGCACCCTGCATTAATATAACACACGTAATTTAAAAGAACATTTAACATTTCAATTGGAATTCCATCTCTCAAACAAATTCCAAGAAAAGAGAAGTTGATGTTACCTTGACATCAGAAGCTGGTACTATCTCATTGCTTTTTGGCTCCAACTTTTTCGTTTCGTAATATTTTGATATTGGCGATGCAGCATCTCTGAGATAAATAGCTCCGACTTTTGAGTCTGAAATATTGTCAAGAACCGGGAGTTCAGGCTTAGAACCTATCGTAATTCTCCTATCAAACTTCGACGGACAAGGAGGAACGACAACGGCTGCTGCGGTTGAAGAACGGAATGCAGAGAGGAGGGAAATGTTATGTGTGATTTGTATGCTGGAACTGCAGAAGAAAGAAACAAAGTGCAGAAACGATGGATGGAGGACGAACAAGGTTGAAGAGGTACTCAAATTTGATGGGACTCCAAAGATATTTTCATTTTCTATAATCTTTCATACCTTCACATTGTGTTCACTTTCAGCATCCAATGCACTAGTGGCTTCATCAAGGATCAATATTTTTGGGTCCCTAAGAATGGCCCTAGCAATAGCAATTCGCTGTTTTTGTCCACCACTTAAAAGATCATCATCAACAAGTGTTTCATAACCATTAGGAAGTGATGAGATAAAGTCGTGAGCATAGGCCTGCTTCGCAGCCCACTCAATATCCTCCTGCTTTACATCTCGAGTACATCCATATCTGATGTTCGAGCTAATATCCATCCGGAATAGCTTTGGTTCCTGTACAAAGAAAAATTCGGCCATAAGAAAGGAGCTATGTTGATTCAATGAATTTTTTTCGTTAGTTTCTTAAGTACCTGTCCCACATATCTGATTCTCTCTCTCCACCACATGACATCCAAGTCTTTATGAGGGACACCATCGATCAAAATCTGCAATAAAACATTTTGTTAATATTCTGCTTATCTTGGCGATTCATTTTAATTAAAACTATCTTAGTTCAATCTCGGCTTTAAGGAGATAAACAAACTCTACCTGACCACTTGTAGGCTCATAGAGACGGAGCAAAAGATTCACCAATGTGCTTTTTCCGCTGCCACTAAGACCGACCTATGCAAAATGAAAAGAACCAGCAGATTAGCCTCTTAGCCATTATGCAGGGAAGGAACGAATTCAAGAGACTCGAAGCAATTTCTTACAATGGCAACCACCTCGCTAGGATTGACAACAAAGTTTACGTGTTGCACTACAGATACCTGTCACAATTGAATGTCACTAATTGAGCTTGTATAACAGACAATGATAAAAAGTACCAAATATACAAGCTGTCAGCACTAAAGAGTACCAAATATACAAGTTGTCAACAATATGAGTCGTATGGAGATGATATCACTACGAGGCTTACCGTTGGCCTCGAAGGATAGTGAAAAGATACATTTACAAACTCCAAATGCCCCGTTAAACTTTGCAACCTCATTCCTGTAGCAAAAATTACATCCAACCTTCAATATATTTGAATACGACAAAATAAGAACAAAACTGGTGCGTGGTAGTTCATCTTGTCTATCATCAGAGCTTCTCTTTTCTATTTTTAGTTATATTATATGATACTACAAGTAGACGACTAGAGTTATATACAGGTAGTAACTTGGTAAAGTCAAATGAAGCATGAAAAGGATGAAATCAATAAGAAGCTTTTTACTAATGAAGTAGATGAATTGAACATGGCTCTTAAAAACGCTTGCCTTCTGTGATAAATTGGATGCTAGGTGAGAGATCCATTAAATTGAACACTTTTTCACTAGCTCCAACTGACTGCATCAAATTGGATATATTGTCGCCCACCCACCAGGTTGAATAAATTAACCATTCACTGTATAGTATAAACTTAGTAAGTTTCTCTGCTGTAATATGACCCGCTAGAATAGACATTCCTCCAAATAGCACGGCAATAACCTATAACATTTAAATGTTTCAATAAAAGCAAGAGTCAAGTACAAAGGCTTAATTGAACTTAGAAAATTGTTGATTATTAATTCTAGAACATTTTTTATTCAATATATCAGCTCATAGGTTCAAAACAAATAAATAAATACATGGAAAACACTGTGATCCATACCTAAGTTGAGTGATAAAGAGTGTTGAAGTTAAAATTCCAAAATCCATATGCAGCGCTTTGGCGCAAGCTTATGTCAGCTAATTTTTCCAGCCACAATTTGTACCTGTGGTTAGAGATGGACGATATGCATGAATAGAACAAAAACAATGGTAACAAATGAATGGACAGTAAATGTTATAGTTGCAATGGCATTATCACCTCTCCTGTTCTTCTTCTTCTGTTCCATAAACTCGAACAGTTCTAATAAGAGAGAATGTCTCTTGAGCTACCTACGATTTCAATGTGGAGAAAATTGTGATCATGGTGACAATTCATAAAAAAACGAAACAAATTATTGTAGTGTAAGGCATTGTATTCTACATTATTAGCAGAAGCAGTGACTTCTTGGATCAACCTTGCTGCCTTCTTCTGGTACCTATGCAGAAATATATAATCAAATTAACAGCATTGCTCATATAATTTGCACTAGTCAACTGTAAGCCACAAGAAATGCAATATCAAGTTTATAAATGACGAATTTGAAGAAAATCAACCAAGAATTACCTTCCATAACGTAACATGACCGCTGCTAATATGGAGCATATCACCAACGTACATAAACCAAGTGGCCAAGACAAAACCAACAAGTAGATTAATGAACCTCCCCCCTAGGAAAACAGGGGGAAAAAAACAATTAAAGCCTCCATCATGCAGGATAACTTCTATTAGCATTACATATTTCGTAAATAAATAAACCTGAAGGACATTGCGCAATATCAAGTTAAGATCATTTCCAATAACCCTTGAAACTTGCTGACAATCTGCCCCAAGTCTACTTGTCAAATCTCCTACTGTTTCATTGTCAAAAAACGATATATCCTACAATAAGGACACTATCAAATGAGTTAACCACACCAAATAAAAAACTAAATGCGGCGAGAGGTCAGTTATCCAGTGAAGCAGAACCTGAAGAAGGAGGGAAGAGTATAATGTTTCTCTCATTCTCTTAACCTGCACATTTAAAAAAATTGTACAACAAAGTTGAAGAAAACCCTAAAAGTCAAATTCAATGGGGACAGAAGCCTGCAAATGGTCATTGCTCAAGTACAAAATAGTCTTGGTCTGATAATTATAGTTCTTAGTTTCTTTATGGTTTTCGAGTCCATTTGACATGAATCATCTAGTCATATCCACAAATATCAGTAGAGATGCTCACCAGAATCATGTTCGCAATGCCAAAAAAGCAACCTCGAATCCCACTGAAGCACAGGAAAACTCTAGTCAACTTGTGTCAGGAAACCTTACAACTCACTTAAAGGATAAAAGAGTTTCAAACGAAGTTCCAAAGTGTCACTAGAACTTTCTTGAAGTTATGCATCCTCAGTAGATGAAACTTGACCGATTATTTCAAGAAAGTTGTCCCATTCATCTGCAATATAAAACAGTTAATTTCAATCCTAAACTAGCAAAGTTCATCATAGCAAAACCCATTCCGTGTTTTACTCCTATCCACACATAGCTATAGCTTTTCACACAGTTCTTTCTTGACAGATAAATTAGCATGATAAATTTACTTCCCCTCTTACTTTTATTTTATTTTTTATTTTGCTCTAAAATTGGATAAGATTGGGGAAGGGAAACACAGTAGGGTAATAATGAAGTTTCAAGACAATGATTAATGGATAAAAATTGCAGGTGTGAAAAGTAAATACAGCTCTTACAAGGGTTCAGTCGGTCAATATTTAGAAACATAATATTGTATTAGTGTTCTTTCAGAAAAAGTCAGGTAAGCTTTCAATTTTACATCATGATTCATTAATATACTCAGATACATTGAGTACTGAGAACTCTAAGAACTTTAAACATTAACATTTTTATTCTTCACAAAGGGGAATCAAATGTACTATAAAGCACAGTTTCACTATAGTATGGAGTGAAAACGCTATAACAAACAAAACACAAGCATCAAATGATAATGTTGAGAAAGATAGAGAGAACTAACACAATAAAATATTTGCATAAGCACTCATCAGACACTTTCAACTCTTATATAACACAGTACAGACACTTCGATTTCACTTTTAACTCTTACCACTTTTAAATTCCCCATCTAATTTGGACCAAACATTGATCCAACACTGAACAATTGGTGTAGAGGAAAATATTAACTAGACAGGAACCACTCTGGGGCAGGAACCGCTCTGCTCCGCTACCCACTATTTATCCTATAGTGGTCGCTATAGTGTTCTGCACCGCCAAAACTCTTCCCATAGTGATTGGCTTCCGCTCCGCTATAGCAGCATAACACCTCTATTGGTCGCTATTGACTACTCTGACTGAGACATCATTAATAATTAATTGAATGTGACTATAATACATGAATGTGAGTTAGACACTATACATTATTTCATGCATACAAACTGAAGTGTCGGTACTACCAATAGAAATGTAGTCAATCGAACTATCATGCCTCAGAGTCAGACACTATTTCATGCATACGAGCTAAACTGTTGGTACCAATAGAAATATAGTCAATCGAATTATCATCATATTTTGACCAAGATCTCGTATCGTAAATTAGACAAACCGATTTGAACCGTCAAACTATTATCAATGGTCAAGTTACTTTGTGACTACATTCACTGAAATTAAAGACAAACAGACATTCTAGGGGAAAGAATGATTACTTCTTTCGGTTTAGATTTCCTTTAACACTCATCCCCTCCAATCTTTCAACCTTCCCTATTTCATGCAGTGGTTTCCTTTCTGCCAAAGCTTTAACCGGCGAAGTCTTCAACCGAAATACCAGTTTCAATCAATCTGTTGTCTTCTAACTTTAACAGCAACTGCAAAATAAAATTCCAACGAAAAAGGCAAGAAACAAGGAATCATCAACTAATTCCAAAACTAAGCTTTTAGGTTAAAAGAATTTTAAAAAAATTAATCAAATTGACAAACCTGATGAAAATCGAAAGTAATGGGGGATTTTTCGTCTTGTAACGTCAAATAAAAACTGTGTTTGCCATCATTTATCCAGAGAGTATGAGAGATTGAAGGACTTGACAAAATGCGATTTGGGGGAGAAATTATTTTTAAAAATCGATTACAGATATCAAGACTGAGGGATTGTGATTAGGGGAGAAATATAGGCTTTATGGGGAGAAAAGGGAAGCAGAAAGCGAATTATAGGCGGTAGTTTGAAGTGTGAAGAAATACGGAGGCTACTTCTATATGTTGAATGATCTCTCAATTTTGGTGTTTTAATTTTTAAAAGTTAAAATAATGAATGGCGACTGTTGCACTGAACCGCCGTAATAAGTGTCACAAGTATGTTTTCAAGGCAGTTTTTCTATAACCGTCGCAAATCAAATGTTGAAAAATTAATTTTTAAATTAATTTTTTCTTGTAGTGATATTATTACCAAAATTAATTTTAATAAAAATTAACTATTTATATAATAAAACATAACATATTTTACTATTATTTTAGACAAAAATATTAAACTGCATTGTCATGATAATTATAATAATTATTTATTAAATTAATTAATAAAATTGAAAAGGTTGAAAAATAAAAATGAAAGAAAAAAGTGGAAAATCAAAGGAATAAAAAAATAGTGATTATGATTGGTTAAAGTAATTGCGACAGTTCACCTTAACTGTCGCGAGTGTGGAAAGAGGGCAGTTCTTTGGTAACTGTCGCAATTAATTTATACAACATGTCTAAAAAATCTGCGACGGTTGGCTCAAACCGTCGTGAGAACTGTCGTAGTCCAGGAATAAGGACGGTTTTTTTATAATTATCACAAAAAATCTACGACAGTTGACCCTAACTGTCGTGAAAACCGTCGCAATCCATAAATAAGGACGGTTTTCTGATAACTGTCGCAACTCAAGTGTCGTAAATCTCCTTTTTTCTTGTAGTGTTAGTAACAACTAATCTAATACTCCTCACTATCATCCTCCAACATTGTTCATCCCTAACCTCAAACCCTAAACGGCGCAACCATCCTCCCAAACCTCCCAGTTCTCTCCATCACAAACTATCCTTCTAACTTCATCTCAATCGTTGCCTAGTTCTACGAACTACTATAATCAGAAGAGATTGAAGCAAAACCTGGAACCACTGACGAGCGATGGTGGAGCTTTCCTGGAGATGATGAAGATTGAGAAGTCCTGATGGCGATCTTGAAGTCCTGGCGATCTTGGAGCGTTGAAAACGAAGGAGATCAAGGAATCTGGAGACGGATGAACCGATGAAGAACCTTAAAGAAACTTCTGGAAATCCTTGCTGAAGTTTGAAGGATCTGGAGATCACGAAGACGACTTGAAGCTCCTATGATCTTCTGGGAAATCAATTGAAGGTTGAATGTTCTTCACGAGATTCTTGATGAATTTCTTGAAGATTCACGGAGAAATCGATTAAGGCGCGATGAATATCATTGTGGATCTCTGGAGATGATGTTGACAGTTCTTGAATGTTCTTGTGAAGAACATGAAGATGACGAACACCATGATGAAGTTGGTTGAAGATTCATTCGTGGATGCATGTTTGATTCGTTTGATTTTTCTGGAAAAACGTCTTGAACGGGATGAAGGCGCTTGAAGAAGATGGTGGTGATCAGCGAGGATTGGTGTTGAGAGGAGAAAAAAACTGGGGAAAATGCAGTTTCCGGCGGGTGGTTAGGAAGTCCGGTGGGAGGTTACGGTGGCCGGTGGCAGTTGGAGTGGTCGTCGGTGAGTGGTTGGGGTGGCCGCCGGCAGTTTCATGCCGGCCGGTGAGGAGCTCCGGTGAGGTTGCAGGTGGCGCCGAGGGTGAGGGAGAGGAGGACGCATGGGGTTGAGGGAGAAGGAGAGGGAGACACGTGTGGAGGAGAGAGGGTGGGTGGGTTGTGTGTTGTCAAGATTCTGAGTGTGTGTGAGAGTGAGGTGGCAGCAACTGGGACACACGCGTGGCACTGCCCTTTATACGACACCTGACAGTTTGAAAATGGATCTTGGACTGGGCTTTGATCTGGATAATTGGCCCAATGGATCTGATTAATTGAGGATTATCTGGATTAAACTCTGATTAGTGGACTAAAATGTGATTAAACGCTAAAACAAAATTAATACTGAAAAAAAACCTAATTAATCCTAAAACGAAATTAATAATAAAACCTAATTAAAATCTATCATTAATCCTAATTAAAACCTAAAACAAAAATTAAAAATAAAATCCTAATTAATCTATTAAAAAAACAGAAAAAAACTATTTAATATCTAAAAACTATTTAAAAAATCTAATTAAATCTGGAAAAAAAAACAAATAAAATCTAAAACATTTTTAAAATCCTATTTTTAAAAAATCTATTCTTATTAAATTTGAAAAAAAACAATTAAAATCTAACCTAAAAACATTAATATCTATTTAAAAAACTATTCTTATTTAAGAAAATTAATATCTAGTTATCTATTTAAAAAAATTCTATTAAAAGGAAATTAATATCTAAAAAAATTTAAAATTTATTAAATCCCTAAAAAGAAAGAATATTTATTTAAAATCTAAAAACTATTAAGAAAATATCTATTAAAATCTATTAAATCTCTAGAAATATCTATTTAAATCTATAGGAAAATATCTAAAAATCTATTAAATTCTGTTAAACTCTATTAGAAAAAATTCTAGAAAAATCTATTTAAATGCATTAAAAATCTAGAAAAATAAAAGAAAAATCCTAAAAATGCCAGGAAGCCGATTAAATCGGTTGGAGAACAACTGCGCAACCATAGTGAAACCCGGACACCGAGATGGCCTGAAAACACTTGAGACGAGCACCAATTCTCAAAAGACTCTTATTCCAACCGGCCTGCACTGCCTGAAACGCCAGGGGCTATAATCTCGATAAAATCCATCTAACTGAGAAAAATGCAATGCATGCAGTATGCGAATGCGAATGCAAAATGCGTCGAAACATAAACCAGATATGGGGACCGGTTGGTCAAATTTTGGGGTGCAACACATCCTTGTGCATTTCAACATACGGCTCAACCTAGTTGTCATTGTGTAGAACATACAAATGCACTTGCTCCCGTTCAGCCCTTGATACTGTCACAATTTTATTTCCAATTAACTATTTTCCTTCTTTTTTCTCGACAATATGAGATTTAGGGAGTCCAATGAATTGAACATTGGACAAATATTCAGTATAAAACTTAATTGCTTCTTCAATAATGTATCGTTCAA